CCCCCCCCCCCCCCCGCCCATTGATCCTTTGGTTTTTCGATCCCTGTTTCCGTGGAGATTGCTGTTTGAGAGTAAATCAATCCCTCAAGTGATTTTTCAACTTCAGTCGCTCAGTGCATCAGAACGGTGATGGTGCAACGGCGTGAGGTCTGATGAATATCGAGAATGTGGTTGAACCTCCTAATCTAATTACTCAACTTCTCGTGAGGTCATTCTTGTCTTGAAAGGACACCTAAACAATCTTCTAATATTATATTTCTTTTTGTCATTCCTATTTAAGTCGACCCAATTGTTGACAATACAAAAGTTTGCCTGGCTTAAGCGATTCGTGTTGTGTTATTCCAATCGCATCTAAGCATATGTCACAAAGAATCTTCCGAAGGGGAGTGGAGGAACGATTTGCTTCATTTGGAGACATTATCTTCTCGAACCTCCACCTCTCCTCCCTCCCCCTTCTCAGCATTGTCCTAACCTATCCACCCATCGCCCTCAGTAAGAATTTAAGGTAAAATCGAGACACCAAACAAATACTCGTATTTCTCCACTCTTAGATGTCATTCTGAGAAAGAGAGAGAGAGAGAGAGAGAGAGCTGGTACTGTGCGGTGCGGTGCTACCCAAATTCTCAGCCAATTCAATCGTTATAGCTGTGCTTTAAGTGCAATTGAACAGTTGATTATGAACTTACAAGCCTCAGGTATATTGATTATTTAGTCAACTGAGAATCTGATTAGATTAGGGACGGCCTTTTCATCCTCACTAAGATCTGTGGGTCGTCCTGATTCACATGCATCATTTGCATCCCCATTGCCCAATCCAGATTGTTTAAAGCCGAACTGTGAGCGGAACACGTGGTCATAAACTTCTCCACTGCCTTTGGTCGGCGTGCAAGCTTTCAAGCCCTGGTGAATGGAAAGCAACATGCCCGGTCTGTCTGACATCCTCCCTCTCTCTCTCTCTCTCTGTCTGCTTTCGTGCTTGGTTGTTTGGGCTTACTTGAAGCACACAAAATTACCTTCAAGTACTCATGAATTTAGAAACTGTCCTCTTTTTTTGACGGTGTTTGGTTAGTATTTTTTCTAGAACTTTTGCGAGGGTAAGCAATTTGCTCTCGTATACCTAGATAATATTGAGGACTTTTACTCCATTACGGATACTCGTTTAACTCAAATAATATATTTATTAATATACGCAAGAAATATTATTGACAATGTGTTTTGTTTGCCCATATCGTTTCACCAGATTTCAAGAATTAGATCTCAATCTCGCCGGCATGGCTCTGAACAAGCAGAGCCCGTCGCCCTTCGAGAGCAAATGGCTATTCCTCTTGGAAACTTCTTTAGAAGGTCTGTTACATTCTCGTTCTTCGGCGCTTCAATCTCGGTGGGCCAAAAGAACTGGAGGTGGGTTCAACCGAAAGGCCATCGTTCGGCTGGCCGGCCTTCTACTCGTTGTCTACGTGTCTAATCGGCTTCAATCACATTCCGTCGTCTCTGACATCTGCCTCCAAACTGTTCCAACTGGAATGTTCAATCTCATGGTATGGTTAGCCTTTTGACGTCGAATTGAATTGCATATGAAATTCTTAATGATTGATACTCATCTTGTAGTAATTTTGCGATATTTCCTATCGTATTGATTATATTATTGTGGTTCCGTAGTGTTGCTACCAAACTTACTTTTCAGTGATATATATATGTCTATTGCAGGGCAACAAAGGATCGGTGGGAGTGCGTTTGACTGTCTACAACCATTCCATTTGTCTTCTCAACTGCCACTTGGCTGCTGGGACTGCGAATTGTGAGAGGAGGAACCAGGACTACGGAGAAATTGCGAGGAAAATGATCTTCGAAAGGCGCTTGCCTAATGAACCACCTCAGTATGTTCGGATAAATGACCACGAGTAAGCATCCGGTTAATTCTATTTCTCCTTACTACTTTGTGCTCATCCGAAAACATTTATTTATTTGTATCAAATGGCAGGCGTTGTGATAATTATCATTAGCTCTTTAGCTGACTTCAGGCTTCACAGAGAGGAGGAACATCAAAGTGAGACAAATTTGAGAGGGGGGAGGGGGACAGAAGAGTGCTTCAAAATGTAAACGAGACGAACACAAAGGTAGAAAAAAGGTGAGGTGAGTACTGTGAAAGTGGTTGAATATGACATACAGTGTGGTCATGGTGGTTTGAGGTCAGAAGTCAACTGCCGATTAATAGACTTTATTGCCCAGGATGTACCACGTGGAGGTAAGTCTATCGCACGCCCCTCATCCGAAAACATAAAAATTATGTCTTAAACGCCCCCATAGTCATGTGAAATTTGAATTCGTTTGGATCATTCATGATTTGTTTTTTTAAGCAACACAATGGCTTAGTCACGCGGCCCCTATAAACATATGCATGCAAATATGAGCGTCGGAGGATAAACATATTTCGACTGCGCTACACGTAGGTGCGACACATTTAATAAAAATGACCTCACGATAGCTTCTCTCACTTAGAGATGTTCTCTTCTGTTTCCAATTTCCCATTCTTGTTCCATCAAAGAATTTCCGGGATAAACAAGCGGCTCTCAATTGCGTGATGACACGAATTAATGGGGCGCGCTTTATTGTGTCTCACGGGGATTGTCTCTCCGCCAAGACAGAAATTTTTGTTAGATTTTTTTAAGTGTGGAAAAGCCTCCGAACACTTTAGGAGCAGTTATAGACTTCAAAAAGTGGCAAGAAGAAGGAGGGGGGGGGTCGAGTAGAAGGTGTGAATAAATTCAGGAGATAAAAATGGATTCTAATCCAGTTGCTTTTTGAATTCAGGTTGTTGTAACTCTATTCTACTTCACGTTCTAATTTTACAACTTTCAAACTGTCGTACTTTCTCCTGAGTTACTGAGCTTGTTCATTGCAAAGTTTACTTTTTAAGCCGTCTTCAACGCCAATTTTCCTTTCAATTAGCCGAAACTTTGTTCTTTGTCTTTTCAGCCAAGTGTTCCTCTTCGGCGATCTCAACTATCGAGTAGCAGGATTAGAATTGGCGGAAAATCTGGCCGCCATATCTCGTAGGGATTACTCTCTTCTCTTGAAGTTTGATGAGGTAAGTGTGCTAAACATACTTATTTGAAGCGAAGGGCTGTTGGGGGTCGCAGCAGTTGATTAAAATTCCAACAAATTAATTTATTTATGTCAAATGGCAGGCGTCTTGATGGTTATCATTAGCCTTTTAGTTGACTTCAGACTTCACAGAGGGGAAGAAACATCAAATTGAAAAAGTCGAGAAGGGAGGGGGGGAACAGAAGAGTTTTTTAAAGATGTAAGAGACAAACACAATGGTAGAAAAAAGGTGAGGTGAGTACTGTAGAAATATTCGAAAATGGCATAGAGTGAGGTGATGGTATACAGTGGAAGTGGTCGAATATGCCATACAGTGAGGTCACGGTAGCTTGAAGTCAGAAGTCAACTGCCGATTAATAGACTTTTTTGCCACATGCAGTCAGAAGTCAACTGCCGGTTTATAGACTTTTTTGCCGTTTGAGTAGTCAGAAGTCAACTGCCGGTTAATAGACTTTTTTGTGAAGTGAGAAGTCAACTGCCAGTTAATAGACCTTTTTGCGTTGAAGTCAGAAGTCAACTGCCGGTTAATAGAATTTTTTTGCCGATAGTGAGAAGTCAACTGCCGGTTTATAGACTTTTTTGCCGCTTTGAAGTCAGAAGTCAACTGCCGAATAATAGACTTTTTTATTGAGTCGGGTAGTTTGAAGTGAGAAGTCAACTGCCAGTTAATATAACGAATATGACATAGAGAAGTCAACTGCCAGTTAATAGACTTTTTTGTCGTATGAGTATACGTTGCCCAGGGTGCACCACGTTGATTTTTCTTTCCACTCTCACAAATCCAAATTTCTGAAGCTTGTGGGCTCTGAAGCTGTTTGAGTTATCTTAGTTGTAGTATTTGACGGCTGAAATCTCCTACAACTTTGATGAGGCTAAGCACTTAAGAATGTCCTGACTTTTTTAACTGCGGCGATCACTCTTCTACTTATATTGTGAACTAAAAGGACTTCATGCATCTTATTTCTAAATCCTTTACACTCTTGAATATATAAATCTCGTTAAAACATGTCGTCTACCTCTGTCTGCTACCCTCAAGAGTCCATATTCACGTGACTGCCTGTGAAATATAGATTCCATTTGATTCGTGAAGAAGTTGGCATATAATTACAGTTGATCAACATCTACCGAAGGGAGTAAAATTAAAAATAATTAAGTAATCGATTCCGGCAAAGGCTTTTCAAGAACTCGAACTGTGCAATCCGCATAGCAATTGTGGTTCGTTTTTCCCAAGGGTTTAAATTCGTTGCTGTCGCATTGTCACTTATTTTACAACTCAAAGTGCAAAATTTCACTGTTGATGTAAGCTGAGATTGTCGGTTTTGTTCAATATGGACAATTTTAGCCATATCGCTTTTGTGTCTTTGATGATCCTGCTAGTCATTTTTCTCTTTTGACTACATACCAACTTAAGTAGCCATTGTGATCCCAACTGTGAATTGTGTAATTAACCGGATAGTATAATCTTGGCCGAATCGTAATTTACGCTTATTTATTAATTGTACGTAGCGATCAATAATCGTACTTTTGCGTTTTAGTTACTGACCCAGCAGTCACTTGGTCAAACTCTTCAAGGTTATCGCGAAGGTAATATTGGATTTGCGCCAACGTACAAATTTGACCTCACGTCAAATTCGTATTCTACCGTGTAAGTTGGAGATGCACTTCCATTCATGAAACTGTCCACTATAAGTACATTTCCTTAATTTTAGAGATGGACGAGTGCCATCATACTGTGATCGAATTCTTTGGAAAGGAAAATATGTGGAGCAGATTAGCTACCGATCTCATGAGGTCTTTCGACTAAGCGATCACAAACCTGTTTCCGCCTACTTTAAGATTGGCGTAGGTTAAAAGAAATTCATCAAAATATTTACTACTGACAATACTTAAGTAACGTAATTATTTTAACTTTACTTAGGCACGATGTGTCAATCCAAGACTCTTCACACGGGCTTATGAGGCTGGAATTCGATGTCAAGATCTCTACTACAATATGCTTCTGCCTCAGGCAACCCTTAGCACTCAGGAAGTTGATTTTGGACCTGTGCTTTTTGAGGACATTCGACAGGCAACCATCAGCCTTACTAACACGGGTCATGCTAGTCTAGAGTTCACATTCTCCCAAGAAGGTGCAGCCGCATTTCCGCCTTGGTTACACGTCTCTCCACCGAAAGCAAAAGTTGAGAGAGGTGAAACGTCTGCTTATATCAATTTCAGAAACGCTCAATTCCGATCTCTTCTTATCAATGTGTATTTATTCGCTACAGGTGAATCTTGTGAAATTCAGGTAGACGTTTGCGTTAGTCCTGACGTGGTATCTTCAGTTCAAAGTGGTGCTGTTCCACTCTCTTGTATCATCGTCCTAACACTTGTCGGAGGAAAAGATTTCTTTGTTTCAATCACTGGAAGATTTGTTCCAACATCCTTTGGATTACCCCTCACCCTTCTTCTTAAACTTCCTACCTCACCCGTAGCCTTAATAAATCCAGAGAAACTTACGCAGATGGTGACCTTAAGCAACTGCCTTAATTACATTCAAATGGCAAAGTCAATTATCCATATTGTCTTCTTTCTATAGGTTCGTGAATCTCGAATGGGAAATTGGAATGAAGGCGAACCGAGCGTTTTATCCAATTCAAGTAAATCCGCCTTTACTGTACCGAAGGAGATTTACCGATTAGCTGATTTCATTATCGCACGAGTTGAAGAGGTGAGTACTACTTCCAAGCCATTTTTAAGCAAGCAATGATATGATGTTCTCGCATAAGAGGCTATTTATTCCCATTCTAGCCAGAGCTTTTCCGGCAACCCGAACAACGTTCAGACCTAGCTGTAATTAGAGACACATTGGATACAACAAAACATGATGTCACCATCCGTAAGGGATTTATCTTTAAATAGTTTCTCTTGTTTAGCTCCCTCCGTTAGCGTACATTCTGTGATCTACAGCCTGCTTGTTTTCCTCAGTGCTTTACCTGAACCAGTTATTCCATTCGCATTTCAAGGCCAGTGTCTCGCAGCAGCACGCCAGTTGAGTGCATCGATGGCTCCTACTGCGGGAGCAAGCAACGGCAACGTGATGGCTGTCTATCAAGCCATTGCTCGGTTGCCGATTGACCACCAAAACCTCTTCTTTTACCTCGTATCTTTTATCAAACGTTGTCTCACTTTTAGCTCTACAAACGGAACGAATGTCGACATGCTAGGTGAGTTTGCACTGACAAATTAGGATTGAGAATCAGTCGCAATTAAAGCTGAATTCAATTTTAGCGTCCACTTTTGCTGATTTGATGCTTCGAGAACCACCGTACATTTCCGCATCACCTAAATCCCAACCTTTGCATCAGGATGCTCAAACACGACGGAGTCAGCAACAGTTAGCTCAAGCTCGACAGGAACTGAAAACTCTCTTCTTAAAAACCTTCATCACCAGTGACACAGAGGAAGTTATCCGACGACTGAAGCAAATTTAATATTTTAATCCTTTTTGAGCACATTTCACCCTGTCTCTGCTGCGATTTCTCATTCGTCTTTCTCCTAATTTCATCGAATCATGAAAAGATTGAAAAAAGAGCACGCCTTTGAAATATACTGAAAAAGTTTCTTGTGAAAGCATTATACTGGGTAAATTTATAAGTGGGGAAGGAGGAAATGGTGATTGAGTTGATGATAGGAGGACAGAGAGATAATGATCTAAATAGAGAAAAAAAGAGTATTGATTAATGCTCAGTCTTCCTCAAGAGGGAAAATCAAGTGTAACACAAACGTCGGGGCTCACCATACACGAGGACCTAGATGATGGCCTGCTGCATATCCCCTTCGTATAATGTTCGCTTTGAGTACGGCAGCTTGGAGACGTTGATGGGATTGATCAATAATTCTCATGGTGTCTTTGAATGTCTGATTCCGTTCGTCAACAATGGCACGACATAGAAGCTAAAAGAATAATAATTATTAAAACTTTTACTCCCCCAACAGACTACTCTCTATTTCTGCGTTTCCATAAAATGGGCGATTTATCTACGTTTCTGCGAAGTTTCCTTTGAAACAACTCTTTTTGATGATGATGATGTATTGCTGCTAATACGACTGCAATCTAAGTTTCTCAGTGTGGAAAAAATCTAACGAGGAATTCTATATATTTTGCATTAGGAGCATTGAAACAGGTAGCCATGGAACTCCAAAAGCAACAAATTACGAGCGGTAAAAGGGACTCGATTTCCGAGTTTTTAGTGTCCAAAGTCGCACTCATGACAGACTAGGATGTATTATGGACGATGACGTCAGGCATATTGCTAGCAAAACAATTTACCTGGAGAGAATCGAAATGAGATTAGCAGTGATAAAGCACCATTGACTAGTATTTTAGGCATTTGAGCTAACCATTTTAATTAATTAACTAAGCTTAATGATCAAAATTCGGTAGAAGAACAGGAGAGGGCTACTGAAATATGGATGTTTAAATATTAGATGAGGAAAAAGCACACAACTAGAATTCGTACCTAGAGCGTTGTGCAACCACTTTCAGCATACTAACCAAAACTTTAATTCAAATCTGGCCAAAGAAGTAGTAAAAGGGGAGACTCTTGTCAGACATAAAGATAAGTCGTTCATCCGCCAAAGAAAAGTGTTAACTCTTCAATTGACTTACTAAATCGATGATTATGGACTGCACGACGTCTCTAACCTCTTCTAAATTAATTAGCGTACCTGCTTCTCATAATCAATTCGTGCTTTGATAGTTCCCGTGCGAATAAGTTCCGCCAATTCACCGACCAGATCCGTTACACTGGTTCTGAATGCCTCCGCCATAATCCTCAAATCCGCTCTAACGAACGGCACAAAGTACTGCCGCAGCGCCTTCACTCGAATCATTTGATATAACTCCTCAACATGATCCGCAGCAAAGATTTCCAACTTGAGGTAGCTCATTAGCTTCTCTAGATGCGTGAAAACACTTGTGTAGTCGGCCGAGTGAAATGCAAGTAGTAAATCTCGCGCTTCAACTTCTGCTTCAAGAACAAGGCGGAAGGAGGGATGATTGAGAATATCGGTCTTTAGAGCTGATCGGCTAAGGGTAGCCAGGGCACAAACAGCAACACAGCGCGCAACATCACTGCGAGTTACAAAATTGCTTGGGTTGTCGAACGTGCACTCATCGGGGTCAATGTTTGCCTGAAAAAGGAAAAAAACTACTTAAATTGCGGAAGATACATGTCAGGATTACAGAAATAACATCTACAAATTAGTAGGACATCAGTGAACCAATTGCCGTCTTAATCGAGTATTTGTGAAGATGTTAACACAAGCGTTTACACTGGAAAACAGCACAAATAAAGTGGTGCATAATGCACAAAAAGGGGTTTTAATCCCTCAGTATGGCCGTTTTCTCCATGTCAAACTGTCTGAGACGATGTCTGCTTATTTACCTCATCTTATCACAATGAAGGTAATCAACCAACATCTACACCGAAAAGCGCTGAATTCGCTTCCTGTAATAAATAAGAAGAAAGGGCAAAATATGGAAACTTGACAATGGAGGGTAAAAAATGTACCTGTTACCAGTAGAGATTTTGAGACCTATTTTGAAATCAATAGAAGGCCAATGATGCAGGATATGATTTCATTAATAGGTACTTCCATTATGCACTTATTTCTTCCTAAATGTACCTTCCAAGAATTGAAGGCGCTAAGCAGAAAATAGCCAGGTTAATGAGGTCATATAGTGGCGTTTCTCTTATCTAATCGGTGGGAGGGGGAGAGGGAGAACAAACAGCCAAGATAGACGAGAAGACAAGCAGGGCGTCAAGTCAGGTATTGTCATAAAATAATGTGCACTACTTATAAGAAAATTAAATAATACCTGAACAAAATGTTCAATGGCGTCTCGATAATCACCAGTGGCCAGTTTTATGAGGGCAAAACTCAAATGCAATTCAGCTTTAACGATCTGAGTTGCAATGGGCAAATGATCAGGCGGTTTTTCCGAGGCTAGGTTTTTCTGTTGAGGTTCCAAGAGGTCTCCTTCATCACGTCGTGTCATAAAATAAACTTCCGGCGCCTCAGCATTTCCAATATTTTTAGAAGCTGTGCAATCGACTTCACAGCAATTCTCAGCTAGCTTTGCGTAAGCGCTTGCCTGAGTCCAATTGGCCTGAAGAATGGCCATCTAGCGAAGCAAAGATAAGCTAAGTGTGTTTAGAATTACAAACCCTGGTAATCTTAAGACAAGAATTCACATCGTCTCCTGGTGATTGACTGTATTCTCTTGAACGAGTATAGCACCTCAATGCGTTCAAGAAATCACCACATTTTGACCAAAAATCACCCATTTCGATATAAGCCTTTCTTGTATGCACAACTACGCCATTGATTTTAGATGTTTTCAATTCCGTTTCGAGATGATCACGAGTTTTATTAACGCGGGAAGCTATACTTCGAACCCACTCTTCATCATACACTAAACCCACTTCGTTCTAAAATGTGTAGATAATCAAATAGCTGAATTCGACTCAACATACATTTCCAGATTTAACAATTTTCATAGTTTCACTATCCAAAATTGTGTCTGTATCCATCGATTCCGCAGTTAGATGTTTTTCGATATACTGAATTGTAATTCAGGGCTAGAACAATAATTAGAACTTACCGACTGAAGAAGTATCACAAATATTTGTTCATATGCAGATAGATTATAAGTTGAAGTTTTTATATAATCGTGAGCTAATTTAAGAGCCTGTCCACGTAGACATGGACAAGCCTGAGCTATGTGCAGTAATCTCATATACTTCACCGGATCCGTATAGGCAGAAAAATACCTTTGAAGATCCTAATTCAAATCAATAAATATATGTTATTTTACCAATTTGAGAGGTTTCAATACAAGCTTCGTGTCGTCATTTGAGCAAGTACCTCCCCTTATTGCTCGGATAATAGCGGAACTCATTTGCACAGCTGAACTGACAGGCAAATGCAAATGAAATAATTAAATGTTGCGGGGTGAATAAAGATTAGTAAAACCTCTTAATCAAACTTTTTCTAAAAATATCAAAAAATCCTAATTGTAAACGTTATATTAAAATCATGCACGCTGTTTTATTCCTTTAGGGAACTAGATGATTTTTCATCTGAATTCGCGAGTTTTCTGCTAAATTATTGGACCACTATAACTCAGAGAAAGATATAAAGACTATTATGTGTATGACAACACAACATTCATTCTCTAAGGCATTTGAGATAAAAAAAATTATGGAAATTTAAAATGGTTAATCTTGCAAGTATCGACATGAAGAAATTGACAGGAAGCGAACAATATTTTGCCTCCCTTGATTTCATTGCAGGGTTTAAAGTTCTCTGCACCCACAATCGTATTTTGGAGAAGGTTCGGGTGTGGTTAAGATTTATCTGTTCATCGTTGGCAGTATTTTATAATTCATAGTTCACATTCTGGTAATTTTTAGTTCCTACTTTAATTTATCTTGACCGGTTTTGGAGAACTCTACTTTTACCAATATTTATCCTTGGATCATAACTTTAAATAGCCGCCTTATGAAATAAATTTCGCCATAATTGAACTAAAAGTAAGATTTTCTGCAACTTAATATATCCTAAAGTTACCTTCACACTTTGTGTTTTTATTTGCACTCGGGAACATCATAATTTAGTACCAGTAAAGACGACTTTCATAGCAATACCTTTAAATTGATGGAGGTCAATTAATAGTTAAACCATCCGGATATAGATTTCATCATTCTTACTATGATATAACCACAATAGCTTTCATGATATAGCTCCATTGATATGTTGAACTCATGGCACAGTTGTAAGACTTTACTGTTACAAGCATTACGTCATTAGAGATACCCGTTTGCTAATGGTGAACTCAACAAAACTACAACTTCAACAATCACCCAGTTTACATATTGACTAGTTTTCGAAAGAATTCGGGTAGTTTACAAAACACTTTCGTATTTTTTAATGAATTAAATTTGTTCAAATATTTTGGAATCATTATGTATTCGGCTAAAGCAGTAATTCAATATATTGAAGGACTTTTAAGGCCTACCCAATGATTAAACACAATGCCTTAATGTTCTACCCTAAATGATGTAATATGAAATCTGTTTGAACTACGTTTCTTTTTCAAACTGTTTGGAAATTTGCATCAAGGATGATTTTACGGAAAGAAAAGTCCTCGCTTTCGATGGAAAACTAACTGAAGAATGGGAAAAATCATTTGCAAGATTGACTGCTTAAAGTGGGCAAAATTGTATCTGCATGGATTTTCACAATCTAGAATTGAAAATTATTTGATGTCAAGAGAAAGTTTACATCCAGGACCGGGGAAAATATAGAGATAACAGAGTTGTTATGGACCAGGTTACCTTAGCTCTTTCAAATGCGCTATGCGAATACTTGCAAAAAAGGTGATATCGTGAAACTTATTGATTAATTGATTGCCTCGCTGGACTATGTTTCATTGTTCATTATTATGTTCTCCACTCTTGCTACTTCATGAAATGTCAATCATTGTAAAGGACAAAATAAATAAATGGCAGGTGAGTTAAATTGCCAAACTCCGCGCGCCCACGCACACACACACACAACACCTTGAACTATTAACCAATTGTAATTGACATATTTACAAAATATTAACTAAACTTGAACAAAACCTTAAGCAAGAGTTAGGTCAAAAAGACGAACCACTTTCGTTAACCAGTGAGATTATACTTCTTAGAAGTGAATCCTTTTGGTATTCACTAAGAATATTTTCCCATGTGCAACTTAACATTTCTAACGCAATCCGTGTATCGCAATTAATGTTTATTTCTTCCCATTTCGATCACTCATACCAAATGATCATTTGCCCAGTGAGTTTTTGCACTCACTTAATTATTGTTATGTCTGCATTGGTAAACGAACTCTGTTTCCCAACACTCCCAAGAAAGGCCGTTTCTCATTGGTTGTTTTGCTGACTAGATATACCCTGCTATTTTGGTTTATGAGTTTCGAGTATTTGCGAGCATGTATGGTTGTGTATACTGGGTTGGCATAGTGTTCAGTTATATTTACTAAAAAATGAGCATACCATATGTTCATTTGTCGAGGTGACTTTTTTAAAAATTAAAATGGTGACTTTCAATGTGTATATTTGCTTGATTAGATTTAACCTGTGTCTGAACGTCGGCAGATAGTTAAACTTTGAGACAACTGATATCACCGTTTATTTGGATGTTCACTAGAATCATAAAATGAAGAGGACAAGGCACTAAAGTAAAACCCATCAGTAGAACTACTGGTTGAAGTCGACCGATTTTGGCAAGCAGAAAGTCCATTTGCTAAAGCATAATTTTTTCACAAGATAACAGGAAAAAACGGCCTCTTTCAAACTAAAAGATCAAAAGTTCGTTGTTGAACCATCCTGCGGTATGATGGGCGAAGGAGTGATGCAGACTTTATTTAATACGAAGAAAAACACTAGACAAGCCTATACACGGAATCAATGAAAATTGGATCGTGATACGTTTGGCAAATTAAGACTATTTGAATTTGATCGTCTACTTTTTGTCTTTCGCCAGTCTGATGCGCAACCAATAAGAAACGTCATTAAATCAAATATTCAAGAGAAGCGGAGGGGTAACTCCTTGAGAATGCTGGTGGTCGCTCTAGACCGGGTACCTAGCTTTTCCTTACCTTAGTTTAAGTCAATAATATTTTAACCAGAAATCTCTTTTTTATCATTTAATCAACTATTAATTTGCTTCTGAGGTAACTGAAAACCGATTCGCTTAGGTGGTATCCATAGGATATTCGACTATCCGGCGGATTGTCGTTTGACTTCGTTAATATTGGCAATGCGAACATCAAGATTTGCATCCCACCGGAGTAGTTGAATAGTTGGAACGGCAAGGTAGTCTTATTTATGTTTAAGGATAGTGGGTGGAGTAGAAGTTGATAACTATTTTTCAGTTTCCCATTGTTAATACTTCATTTTACCGAGTAAAATTACTAGAGTGTGTCCCCCTTGATTTCTGAGTGAATTTATATTCAAGATGCGGAGTGTGCGATAGATTTACCGCTACGTGGTGCACCCTGTAAAACATTTACTCTTTCTTCAAACTACCATGACCCCACTGTATGTCACATTCCACCACTTTCACAGTACTTACCTCACCTTTTTTCTCTGCCTTTGTGTCTGTCTGTTTGTCTCTTTTACATCTTTGAATCCTCTTCGGCTCCCTCTATCGAATTGTTCTTACTTTGATGTTCCTCCCCTCTGTGAAGCCCGAAGTCAGCTTAAGGGTTAATGATAATTATTAAAACGTCTGACATTTGATATAAATAAATATTCAATATGCTTCGTGTTTGACAACTATTAGATATGTTCAAGCTAATTCATTTATTAGGTTGGCAACTAAGTCATTGCCGATTTCAAATAAGAAGGCAAATTCGGAATTTTTGTTTAAAAATATAACTTTATTCAATTAGATATTGGCCGTTCTTGTCGATGACCTTTTTCCATCGTTCCGGCAGAGTAAAAATTCCCCGTTCGTAAAATGTCTGGTCTTTGCTATTAAAAAACTGAATTTGGTGTGATCCGACATCATCCGCGTTGTTAAAAATTTTACCATTTAAAGAGTTTTGCATGGAACGAAACAAATGGTAATCCGAAGGCGCAAGGTCAGGGCTATATGGTGGGTGTGACAAAACATCCCAACCCAGTTCCAATAATTTTTGCCGAGTAACCAAAGACGTGTGGGGGGGGGGCCTTGCGTTATCAAAGATGTGTGGAAAACAACACCCTTCCGATTTGATAATGCCGGCCGCTTATCTTCAATTGCATCCTTCAGGTTTTCCAGCTGTTCAACATACACATTTGAATTTATCGTTTGGTTCTGCGGCATGAGTTCAAAATACAAAATTCCTTTGTGATCCCCCCACCAGACTGACAGCATAATCTTTTTTGGGGGGTGAATCTCTGCTTTTGATACTGTTTGGGCTGGTTGATCTTGCTTCACCCATGATCTCTTGCGAGTAACNGCCAGTAACTAGGTTCTTCAGAAATGGATCATTCTCATTGCGTTTCAGTAGCGAATCACAGATGCTAATCCGTTGCGTCAAATGAATTTCCTTTAACTGGTGAGGAATCCATAAATCAAGTTTCTTGACATAACCAAGGGTTTTTCATTTTTTTTTCAATGCATGTATGGGACACATTGAGCTTCTCTGCAATATCTCGTGTTGTGCTGTGACGATTTGAATCGATGATGGCCTTGATATGGGTTTCATCCACTTCGACTGGGCGGCCAGATCGTTGTGAATTTTTCAGTGAAAAATCACCGGAACGAAATCGTTCAAACCAATTTCGACACTGCCTTTCTTTTAAGGCTTCATCTCCATATACGGCACATAACTTCTTTTGTGCTTGCGATGCATTCTTGCCTTTTCGGAAGTAATGCAATAAAATGTGTCGGAAGTGCACGTCCTGTTCTTTCATTTTTAAATTGGGATAAAAACAAAACTAAAGAACTAAACAAAAAATTTTTTTACTAGTTAACCTAGAAGCCCATACAGTAAGAAAAAATATAGGTTTGATGCTCTGGCCACGTTAACGAAACAAAAGAGAGTATAGAGTGAATCTGTCAACAAAAACGACAATGACTTATAGAGTGAATCTGTCAACAAAAACGACAATGACTTAGTTGCCAACCCAATAGAAACCCTTATCTTTTCCTTGTCAATTTCCTTCCAGATTGAAAAATATCAGAACTCATGAGATTAAATTGGATGTACATAAATGCACATCCCTGGTCCGTTATCATATTTGCTTCTTAATAAAAGGAAATATTTCCTCATTGGCAAATTATGAGTTGCTCACACACTCAATGCTTATATTGGAGTTTGCATTGATTGTATTTAATGATTGTGAAGCCTTTGACAGGTTCATAAAGGATAAAGTAAATGCTTATCTTCTTGTACTTTCTGTTTTCTCGCTACCTCGAGTGTAGCATAGTCGAATATGGGCGCAAATTTGTGCTTATGAACTTTGCTTGAGGCTAGTTGTATTTGTTTGAAGCTGGTTAGACTTAAAAAGATTATCGAGGTCTGGTAAAATGCTTATTTGTGCAGTATCCGCTAAAATTTCTTTCTGAGTAAAACTGGTGGTGCATGCCTTGCAAGTTAATTTATATTCCTCCGTTTATATGGAATATTCTAAAAAGATTTACCGGCGGTAATTTGGTTCCGAAAATAGTTCCATTAAAAGGAATTTTTCGTTTAACCTCCCTGAGCGGATTTTCGGAAAATCCCGATACAATTAAAAAAAAACTGTCATTTTGAACTGTGGAGTTCGCTACGCTACCATGGCTAAACAAAGAAATCACGTGAGGACTCAAACAATCCTGAAGTTGCAGACATGAGTGCAGAGACATCTCAACCAACCAGAATTCAATAGTCACTGCATTGTTAGCGTACCCCTATTTGTACTTTAATGACTAAAATTGGTGGCAGTGTCTCACAATCGGAATAAACGCCTTCACGTCATTCGCTCTAGTTACCTCGATATTGCTGAGCTAATTTCAGGATTAATTGTACCAGAAGGAATAGTCGAAATTTGGTCAATACTTATTCTTGGGGGCGTTTGTTAAGGAACTAATCAACTAATTAATAGACGTTACATTTTGTGACAATATTATTTTATAATTATATAGGAACACTTTCTCTCCCCGTAATAAAAACTGAGGTATTTAAAGCGCTAACTTAACCTCCCACGAACTTAAACATCGAAAGATGATAATTAAATTTTAATTGCATTTTTAAGTCTGGGTTTATTTATAAAACACCTATATTTTGCAACTTTGAAACCTTGTAAAACTTTTGACCTATTCAAAAAGATTCAAGTCGTACATTATTGCTAGCCTTGCGTGAAGTTCATTCAAAGTCGATAAATTTCGCTTGTTTCTTTCTCTAATTAAGCCGACTAAGCAGCACATCCGTGATGCTATTTTAGATTAATTCAAGTCCCTCGGCTTCACTGCTATATATGGGGAGCCAACGTATGATTTGACAACGAAGGAAAGTGTCAAGTGAAGAGCGACTTGGATTAATGACATGGAATACGGTGCTAATAGCTATCATTAATCGTGCCATCGAATCTCTTATCCAATTCGTTGAATCCTAATCGCTTTTAGTTCACACGTCTTTTAACTCAATCGTCGTCGCCCCGAGGAAGCATCTTATGTCAGCAAAAGATTGGACGTAGAGGGTGGAAAAGCGAGTTGAAATTGGAAGTGAGGGCTTCCAAAGGAGTTCTACTCCATTTGTACTATCTTTTTGATTTCAGGATATAAATATTCACCTAGTAGTTAGAAATTTAAAAAGGAACAACAGAAGTTCCCTATTCCAGCCAGCATTTCCAACTGCTCAAAAGATGCCACTATCAAGGCAACTTAACGCAATTTACACCCCCTTCAACAAAGTTAATGTTAACATCTTTCCAATAAACACACTGAGAAGCAGTTGGATTTATTACAATGCAAAATAATTATGCGCCAATTTGGCCAAAACCACCAGACGTCTAGAACTCCACTGTCTTTGATCCTCTCACTGTTTCATCTTCACATGGAACAGGCTTATTATTTGACTCTGCCTGTTGTTCCTCTTTTGTTCCCAGATCAGGCTGAACTACAGCAAAGCATTTTTGCAGAAAAAGTGTAAGAGAATCTACAAGGGAAAAAAAAGTAGAGGATGATCACTTTTTTTTAGCAAGTGCAGCCAAAGTGACAACACAATTCTTACGCATTTTTGTCCTAATGCTCTGTGGATGCTTCCAGCAAACACCAATAAAGTAGACTGGAACGGCTGCAAGAATGAGAATGACATTCAAGAGGGACTCGTTTGGTTGTTGGTAGATAGTGAGTACCAGGATGAAAAGATCACAAAGGAGGAAGAAGATAGGGAGAGCCAACGGTAGCTGGAAGTCCGTCTTCACGTGGGGCTCCTTCACTCGCAGGTAAATGAGAGCTGAGACTGCAAGAGCCGCTATAAGGGCAAAGGAGAAGCCAGCTAAGTCTATGAGATAGAAGATATCTTTATACATCTGGAAACCGATTGAAACCAAAATCTAGAAGGAGTGATTGAAAAATGAAGCTAGATTAGTTGGGTATTTCGAAAGGATAGCATTAAGAAATTAAAGTAGCGGTTGCACCAGAACGAGTATGGCAGGGATAGGAGTGAAGTTTCGGTGGTGAATGAATGCAAGTACAGATGGCATATGACCTTCACGAGCACCTGAGTAGGTTAAACTAGAAAAAAATGGCAGTCAATAATTAGTATTGATCATGTATGCCTAGAAGCAAAAGTGATAAGATAACTAGCTACTTAAATGAGGACAATCTTGATCAATGTGAAGAGGACAACGAACTGGCCGATCAATGGTGAACATAATTTGAATCCCACCTATGTATTAAGGCTTTCTGATAGAAAGTTGGATTTCTTATCTGATTCCGTGAATGCGCTAATTTTCCTTAATTATTCTACGGCTTTTTCAGTCAAGTCAAAAAAACAATTGACCATTACCCCACTGGTGGGGATCCATAAACCCCCCAGGTTAATTCTGATTAACGAGGGTGATGGCAGTAAGCGATTTTCGCTTTAGAGCTTCACTAGAAAGTGATATTGGAAACTAATCTCTGGTAAAGAAGAGGTACCTGCTGGTCCTATGTTAAAGAAACTTACTAATCTCTATATATGTATTTCTATACTTATATTTCCAAACACTCGATATGAACACTAGGGTCTAGGCCAGAGAAACTCTGAACTGATAGACAACTGTCACCAGGAAATACAGAGGTGGATTAACTATATACAACTTACCGAGAAACAGAGAGAATGATGCCATTCATGCTCCCAAAAACAGAAGCTCCAACAAGAACCGGCATAACTATTACACACCATGGCATGGCCCGTTCGGCAAATATCTGAATGATAAAAATGCAGTGAATTTATAAAGCATAAATTTCATCTTGGGGGGCAGAATACTATGATGTTTAAACGCACAACCGCTACAACAGTTGATTCTGAACCGGGTTGAAGCAATTCAAATGGCGATAGGACTGCCAAATAAGCGACATTTGTGAGGATGTAGAGAGTGGTAACCAGGATTAGAGCAATGGAAATGGCCAGAGGTAGGTCTCTAAAGTGCAAAACAAGAAGACTCTAGAAGAAAGTTATAGTAAAAAAGTCAATCTTGGTAAATTAGACAAACCTGGAAGGATTTTTCATCTCCTCGACGAGGAAGTTTAGGTAACTCCAACCTGCAAATGCCCAGAAACCTTGATAAAAAGCTAAAGCCAGGGAACCTGGAGAAGTATACGAATTCTCAAATGAATTCTCAAAATTCTCGGTATGACCTAGAAATTAAAATCAATGATAATTTCAAAGTAAATAAAGGCCATGTAATACAAATAAGATGAGGCAAAATTTTACCGGTAGCAAGGTGATATAAACCAAAACCAATTATTAACATCAGTGCGACGAATTTGGCAATTGAAAATACAACTGCGACTCGTGTTGCCCAGGAGACCTTGTAACAGTTAAGTGCACCGACCAATGCTAAATTCATTTTGTAAATTTTTAATGATAAATAATCATACCTAAGCCCGCTAGAGCAACAATGATAACAACATGATGTGGAATAACACAATCAGGGTAGAAAGGGTAAAGAATATACTTTGCAAAAACAAGAGAATTCGCTCCGCAAGTAACACCACCAATAATGAAGAATGTCACCCACATTACAAGAAAAGCAGGCAAGCCGCCAAAAGTTTCCATGATATAGATATATTCACCGCCCGACTTTGGAATGCGAACGCCGAGTTCAGCATAAACTAAAGCACCAATCAGACTGAAGATACCAGGAATGAGCCACATAATCATTGAAAGACCAACAGAATTTGTATATTTGAGTACGCCAACTGGGGAGACGAAAATACCTGACCCGACGATGATGCTGAAAATTATACTGACGGCTTTAAGCATGCCTATGTCCTTTTTCATCACCATTGCTCCCGACTTTTCAGAGGTTGTTTCGGAATTCGCTTGAGTTTCGTCATTGCCTTCTTGCTCCAAAGCCGAATTAGGATTATTTCGCTTGCGTAGAACCATAACTGCTTCGCGAACTTATTCAATATTCAAGTTCTTATATCGGTAGGTACATTGATCAAAGTCAATATAAGGAAGTTAAACAAGAGAAGGTTATTATAAATCATAAATTTTTTATATATTAAAGACTTATAGTTTATGTCAAATATTTTTTCCATTTTGTATGAGAATAATAACCAAGTATGTCGAAATTGATCGAAATTTAAGACCGAGCCAACTTTAACACCTACCTAATACTTATTAATCCTAAATAAATGCGTTCTGTTTTATCTGAAATTTTGAGACAAAGCACGAGAATTTCTAATTTAATAATAATTCATTTAAATAATTTGCTATGAATTGCATCATATCGGCTTAAAATTATAGGAAGTTTCTGGAATTTCATTCAAAACATGATGGGTGAAATATTATTATTTATAATTTTTTGCTTTGCCTCCATTCAATAGTCATTCAGCGATGATTATTAAGCTGTCGGATCGGTCAATTTTGATCGTCATCTATTAATATTATTAGGGTGAATACAAAAGTTATATTTCCTTAGTCTATATATACATTTGGTACGTAAGGGTTGAAAAGTGTGTTATTTTCAAACAATACCTACTATTCTCCCGCAATTATATGCTGAATTATCGATGGCTAATGTAGTACTTGAATCCGCTTAATATTTGATGCAATTAAATTTATTTTAGAAGAAATCGGGCAAGAAGCCATTGGCAAATTATCAGGATGTGATGAATTAAACTTATGCTCTTAAAGCACTGTTGATATACAGAATAAATGCGAAAGGACTACACATACCAATAATTTGAATTTTCTCAATATCACTAATAAAATAAAGGAGTATTATCAGGTCAATCCTCGTTGACATTAAATTTTCGATTAATTTCCTTTAAATCTCCAGGCCTTCAGATGTATTCCTTCCGTTTCTTTGTAAAATCTTTTGATAAGCGTTCGGAATGATTCGGAAGCGTTCGGAACGATTCTAACTCTGCGTTATCGTTTAGAACGGAATATTAAAATGCTAATTAAGAAATCAACTAATATGAATTTGAATATCCAAAACTCAGTAACGCAAGTGACCCTACTCTTTCTTATTCGTCTTGGCAGAGCATCAAAGAAGGAAAATCAGTTTATTCGCGTGAATAAATACAGAAATGTTCAAAATTTGACCAGAAAATATATTAGCGACTTAAGTGACCTCGATGAAGTACCTAGTGATAAAGGATAGCTAAAATGGCACGCAGAACAGCACGCAATTGGAGAGGCGATGATATCCGAGCCCGAGTTTAGAAAAATAGAAAATAGGGTCTGTAGGAGAACGCATCAGATATATAAGAGAAGGAGAGGGCAATGGGAAATCTCAAATCGAACAATGAGTGAATAAAAGATACCTTAATTTAACACGTGACACAAGGCCAAATCAAGTTCAGCCAAAAGATGAATGTCAACGAATCTTCATATTAATTAACCGTTTTGAGTTTTGTAATGTGAGATGTTCAAATTAATGCCCAATTCAATGTAAAATTTAAACTAGACAGGTTTTACTCGATCTGTCATTCAATAATTTATTTATTTATTTCAAATGGCAGGTGTTTTGATAGCTGTCATTAGCCCTTTAATTGACTTCGGGCTTCACAGAGGGAAGGTTCATCAAAGTAGCAAAAAGTCGAGGGGTGGGGAACAGAAGAGCTATTCACAGATGTAAAAGAGGCAGACAGACACAAAGGCAGAGAAAAAGATAAGATGAGTACTATGGAAGCGACCGAATATGACAAGCAGTCGTGCCATGGTATTTTGAAGTCAGAAATCAACTGCCGATTAATAGACTTTTTTGCCGTATGAGTATACGTTGCCCAGGGTGCACCACGTGGAGGTAAGTCTATCGCACACCCCCTGTCATTTAATAAAGGAATTAAC